GCATCTCTTGGGATCTCCTCAAATGGCAGTGGCACCAGAAGTTGGGCAAAGGTATTGACCTAAGTTGTCGGTTTCTGTGAACTCTTGGTATCCCTGGGTGAAAACTGAATGCATGAGAGGTCAGCGACCTCGGACAAGGGCCCTTGGAGCTCCACCTAGGTTGTTGGTGTGTGTGTTTTTTGTGTTTTTCGGTCGGTGCCCAGGTTTGAGGGGCCACACCAGCGCATCCCCCTGGCCCATGCCTTTCATCAACGAATCGCACGGATGCAGAAACGGCGCAATGCAGCGGAGGTGCATTCGGGAGTGATGGGTGATGGGTCCCTGGATCCCAGAAAAAGACATTCCACTGGCATAAGTAGGCTGTGAAGTGTATAGCTTGGCTTTGAACAGTTGACAGTTGACCCTACATGATGGATTGACCCTGAACATGCTGGAGGATCCTTGCGACCGTTGCATATGTATAGCTGGGCCATGTTCCAGCAAGTCCCTTCTGGCTGGAAACTGCTGAAATCACCTTACAGCAACCCCCCAAATCAGACCACTTCGACTGCCACCCAACAAACGCATGCAGCCCTACCATTAGGATATAAAAATGCACAGGATTGTGCACGATTGACCTAGCCAGAGGTCACTTCACTAGGTGCAGCATATTCAGACACATGTATACAAAAATAGTCCGTTGTGGCTAGTGTATGTTTGACTATTTTGAAAGAACCGGTGACAGCCTTTTAATCTCAGAAACTCTATATCAATATCATGGACTCATTTTTAAAGAAAGTTGATAAACAGAAGATCATGCAAGAGAGACGATAGAGAGACATATGCCGTATGCCCCATGCTTCCGAAAGACCTTACAAAGGCATTTCAATTCACCTGCGGTTGTCGTCGCCCCTGCCCCTGCCCCCCCCCGGGGCGGCCAGGTGCGCCGCCTTTTCCGCCCGGCCGTACTGCAGAGCGCCACACCGAGGGAGGCCGGTTCGGTGCATGTGGCGATGATCGCGTCCATCGGGCAGCCGGTCTATGGGCGCCAGGCGCCGAGTCCGCGGCGTCCGCGTCCACCGAAACCGCGAGGCGAAGGACGTTGCATGGAAGTGATGGAAGTGGTGAAGACGGAAGCTGTTTGAGCAAGGAAAGTCCTCTTAAATTCCCATAAAAACCATGCCACTTCCATGTTCTTTGGAAGAATTCGGGAGACGATTCCGAGATCGAAAGCGGGCCAGTGTTCCTGCAGGATTGGCCAATTTATAGAAGATCCACAATGACGGTGGTGTATTGACAGTGGTATTTTCTATGGAGGGAAGCTGGAAGATGGAAGTTTGCACCCACTATGGACGTTTGCACCTGTCAAGCCAGTTCCTCATGTGAAGACGACCAGGGCTCCTCCTTCCAAAGTTGAACGGATATGACCACCACCGAGAGAGAGGGTCTTTTGGGTGTGTTTCTTTTTCCGGATTTTGGCACACCCAAGCTGTGGTTGGGGGTCGTGGGTTGTGTAGATTGATCCTTGGAGGCCCTGGCCACGATTCGCTCTGCCTTGTTTCATGCACATTTGCTGCCGCTGCACTTCCACATTTTCGTGGACACCGCTGGGCAAGAGGACGTCGCCCATGTTTTGGCGGAGGCCCTTGGATCGGTTTTTCCATTCGGGATCTTATGACTGTATGAGTTGTTTTACGCGGGGCCACCATTGACAACAGGTGAAGTACTTACTCATTTGCAGTCATTTTGCAGTCAACTTGGGCGTATCGGCGTATTAGCTTCGAACCTGAGCGGCTGGGTAGGTTTTGGAACCTGAGCTTCTTGCACGGGCCAGCGCAGTGGACTACTATGGTCCAAAGCATCTCAAGAGGATTTGGCCCCTGCTTCGCCGGCACGTCCCATTGGGTTGCATGGCTGGTGAACATCTTTCTGGATGGTCAGGAGCCGGATGTTCAAGGGGATACGAGCTACAGATCTGGCCTCTTCGGACTTAGCACCATGGCACAAACGCCTCCACCTCTGGGATTCAAGCTATCTTAGCAAGGACACGCTTTGCAAATCAATGATAGTAGCTACTGATGCTGGCACTTCAAAGGCGATTTGCTCAGCTAGGGTGAGGTACCAAGCTTGGATCATTTGAGAAGGTTTTCCTCAGGAGTTTATGGTGCGCCTGGTTGGATGCGGCTCTTTGCAGAGGAAGTCTTCGCTGGCCAAGAGATTGATCACCTCATTTGGGTGGATGCTGGCCCCTAGGATTTGTGGAGCAAAACACATGCGGAACATCGTGACTGGCACACACACACAAGAATGGTTGTCACATGTTGTCACCATGCTCACACACATGCCTTTCACACGCGATTTTGAATTATATAATACTTGTGACTGTCACCCAAAGCTGCAATATAGTACTGTGACATAAATTTTGATTCATGACTAATAACACGAGTAGCATCGAGTAGCGTGTTTGCTCATGACTCATGCAGTGCAGCCTTGCGGGGACGAACCTCAGGCGAAGTGCAGTTTGCTTTGTTTGCGTTGATCCTGATGTCGCCACTGTCCGTGTTAGTTGGTCATGTCCGACCTTTGTTTCCATCTCTTGGCAGGATCTTGATGGGAGAGTGGGCAAGCCACTTAACGATACAGTAACTGCAGGGTTCTCATGATGTTTGTCCACATCATGAGACACTCACCGAAGTCCTAAGTGGCTCAGAGTGCATTCCCATGTTGGTAAGGCTGGTGGGTTTGGTGTCTCCCATTGCATTGGTCAAACTGGAAAGCTCCCAAGCATATCCGGGCAGGAGCTGCAGATGTGACACACAGTTTCTCGGGTGTCGCAGTGACTGAAGGATTTATTGCCATTGGTTGTACTTTTGTCACCTCGTGTTCAACTTCCAGATGCACATGCGCAGGCGTTCACACTTGAGGTGGCACGTCAAGGGGAACATGACTCAAACCAGTGTACAAGGTGTCTCCTTTGAACAATTCAGATATATTCAGATTATAACAGATTATATATAGTTTACATAATGTAATGTAATGTGATATGTTTCTTACTTGTTTCTTTGTCCTGTCAAATCTCACCCCCAAACCAAGAGGTTCGTTGGCACCCTGTGCGATTTGTCCAGGTGACTTTGTTTTTTTTCTCCGACCCTGCCACGCTCTTGCACGAGCACATCAGGGTCACCGAGATGAAACCAGGAACGGTGGCCACCCATCCGACACTCGGGAGAGTTTAGAGGCGAAGACCGGCAACACGTTAGCACTCAAGATATATACACTATAGTACCCCCCCTGTGTCCTGGGGATGGGGGGGTGAACATATATTTACTCTGAAGATTTGAGTCCTTTAAAGCGCTTTAAAGCACACCAAATGCAAAATACCTTGTCTATACCCGTGAACATTTCTCTACAAAATGGGTGACCTCGAGGCCACTATAAAAAGTAAATTCTGCATAGAGGGGATCCCCTGGAGACCCCCCCGAAACACTGTCATTTTGTAGTAAATCAATGGTTTGGAGAGATGATATAGATGTTTTTGTAAGTTTGGTTTGGGCCAGAAGAATAGTCATTTTGCAGAGATTTTTATTCTTCCTGATTAGTCAAGTATGTTAAGTATGTGTAGGGTTGTGTAAACACAATCTGTAATGATTTAACAAGAATAGGGGAAGCATTTTGTAGTGAGCATCTTTGTCTAAGAAATCTATACATTTTTCTTGACTTCTCATTTTGTAGTAGACAGTTATGATCATCCTAATATTAGTTTGTCCGTTATATATCAATGTATTGCTTTTGTGAAATTGCATGGCACGTCATTTTGTAGTAAGCCTTTTTATCATTCCTTGTCATTTTGTAGTGTTTTTTGGTGTGAAGATCGATCATTCTATAGTGTTTTCTGCATGCTGCATGCCTTAGAGATTGTAGCTATAGAATGGGGTGCACGACCCCTCCTATGGAATATGAACGGATATCCTTGTCTTATATGTTTTCTCAGGCTGAGTGCTTAACGCGCATTGAAGCACACCAAAAGCAAGAAGCAAGATGGCACGAAGCAAGATTGCGGAGCATTAAGGGAAATCAATCTTGCTTCCATGGCTTTGCTACCTCTTCCTGCTGTGGCTGCCGCTTCGGGGTCATCATCCGTAACATGGAGGATGGAATGCTTCAAGTTCTGAAAAGCTTTCACTTGAGACCTCCATCCCTGCCAAATAGGTTTTGAAGCTGTGTCGTGGATGAGGCCTTTGCTCCTTTGCACCAGGCAGGTCCTATTGGAAAAGGCATGCATTTCGGTGCTGGCACGGCTTCCAGGATATCATGTATGTTTTAGTTTGCTTTAGATTGGAAAGATCCACACTTTTGAGGGCCAAGTTGTGTTCTAGACCTGTGGCAAAACTCTGGAGAACTGTGCGACTGGGCCATGAGGAATTTCCTCTAGGCTCTTGCACAGCGTCACGCCGCAATCTGCAAAAAAACACTTGCATCTTGCACAAGCATCTCTGTTTGCTGCATTTGCTGCCTTCACTCTGTGTGCTCCATCTGTTGCCTTCCTTCCTCTATTCCACACAAACATATTTGTGTGCTCGATCTGCTGCATTGGTTTCTTCTCCATGCTTGCACCTTTGCTAGTCTGCTGCATAAAACGCCATCCACCACGCACAAGGCCCATTTCAGGACAAAGTTGGTACATGTTAGTACATCACACACGAAAATGTCGGTCTAGAGGGGGTGTAGCATATGCATATTATATATATATAATACCACTCACAGCATGCAATGCAAAATAATGTGTTGTTCATGTTTTTTCCACAGCTTTTAGGTGTTTAAATGAGTTGATGAGCTCTCACTGTCATATATATATATATATATATGTATAAACTTGATCCTTCAGGCAGAGTCCACCGGTCGTTGGAGCGAAGCTCCTTTTGCAGGTCCTCCTCCCATCCTCCACCGCACCCAGGAAGGGAAGCCCTTGGGCATTGCAAGTCTTCAGCTTCAAGCTCATGCGGCAAGCACAGTGGACCAAAGCAACCTGTCCAAGTCGGCAGAGTCTACGAAAAGGTCGGTGGAAAGAAAGATGACCTTTGGTTGAGAAATGACATTGGAAGCGTGGGTTCTTGGTTTTCCCATTTCCCCGGTTGGAAGTTTTTGATTTCCCAGCGACGAACAATGGAACCTTTTGGCTCAGGCTGCTCGGACACCACAGGAAGCACACTGGAACCCCGAGTTCAAACTGGTTCTTTGAACCGAGTTCAATCTGGTTCAAACTGGAACCCCCTTTCCACCTGAAAACCTTTGCACTGTGTGCGCTTTAACTCGTCATCTGTTTTGCCTGAAGGCTGCCGGCCAAGCGGCGTCGACGGAACGGAACGAAGCTTCGTGTGACAGGTCTATGTGCCGGTATGGTTCTCATGCTCCTAGCCGGTAAGGCTTCGTGTGACAGGTCTAGCATGGTCTAGCCCTAGCTGCAAACGAGAAAACTTCAGGCTAAGAGCCCAGCCCTTCTCAGAAGCCTTTGGACGCGCATGTCATCTACCAGGGTGTGAGGAATCCTTTGGCCAGGTCTCCAGATTCGATCTCCACAGGGCTGCACCAGTTCCATGTCGGAGTGCTGAACTTGGAGGATAGGGGTGTCCAGAACATTCACATGTTGGATGGGACTATCAACCATTCCTTTGGACCCCCTGGTGCCTCAGGTTGTCAGTAAGCTCATCCGGGTGGAGTGGCAGACGAACCGCACTGGACCTGCTGGTGGTTCTCGAGAGGCTCTTTGCTTTATGGGTGCCTCAGCCTTTTTGTTGGGTGTGTCTCATCAAGTACGCCCAGACACTCCATGTATGCAGTACATACCTACATTGGGGTGGTTTGATGGGCCGGGAGTTGGCTTCCCCTATATACTAGCACGCGTAATTGTCACGGGGAATCTGAGGAAGTCATGCTTTTGGTGCAACGATCGGATTCGGATGAACGCAAGCAACGACTCAACATTCGATGCATATGGACCAGCCTAAACATAGTTGTTTTTTTTAACCAAAGGAGCTTCCCATACTTGTATGTTGCCCAGTTTGATTGGTCAGTACAGTTTACGGCTTTTGGGCGGTTTTTATGTTTGGGGATGTTGACTAAATAAGCCAACATCGTGGCGTCATAATTGTTCAGTCGATGCCAGAAAGCATGACCTTTGACCAAATATGACTGCTTTTGCGGATTGCCCTGCCCGCAGGCGCCAAACAAGTTTGTCACAGGATGGGTTCCGAGAGGCAAGAAAACAAGCATTAAATATTTGAAGAAAGTATCATGGCATCCTTCCATAGCACTGAACTACAGGTATCCCTAGAGCCGATTGGACTTCAATGCTTTCCAGAATTTTAGAATAATTTTGGACACCAAGACACATGCACTCGCAGTCAACATGTCAAATTCACCGACCGAGGTGAAGGAATGTTCATGATTCTGCTGAGTCAACATCATCCAGAGCTTTTTGGCACCATCTCGCAGGAGTGTGGCACAACCCGGTTCCTGTTATGGTTTGATTCCTTGCGACGATTCAAAGTACTATACCCTGACGATCCATGACCACACATAGGTCACAAATAGAAATGATCTCAGGATATGCATATGTTTCTATATCGTTTTGTTCGGCCACCATGGCCTCGCCGAGACCTCCACAATTCTGCTCGGTCGCCGGGGGCCCGGGATCTCGTCGCTGGCCCACAGGAATGGGCCCACGAACCGCGCTTGCCCTTCTTCACGGGCAATTTGATGATGCCATGGTATCTCGGAGGATTTTCGGATGCCCCAGAGATCTGGTTCAACCGCGAGCATCCAGGTGCGGGATGCTTGCAAAGATTGGGAGAGGGAACCTGGAGACTGGGCAGAAAACATGGTCAAATCTTTTGATCAAAAGACGTAAAACTACTGTAAAGATCTGTAAAGGCCTTCTCAGTGGCCTTCTCCTAAAAAAACTCAAGATGTAGTTGCTTTACTCACTTCTGTAGCAGCTATCATCAGCTATCTACAGACAGGAAGTCTCGCAAACAAGGACCAGGCAGACAGGTATTTGTGTTGTCCCCCCATAGGTTGAAGAAAGCTCTCACTTCCAACGCATGGCTTGCTATACTCGACCTCGAAGTCGTTCCCGAGCTCGTTCGCGCCAAGAACGCGCGAGGCCTGGTGGACTTTACCGAAGCCTTCACCTTTTGCCCGACCTTCGATGAAATCATGATCCACAATTTGGCTGTGTCACCCATGACCTACCCCATTTTTGTGGTGGAAGTGGCCCAAGTCTTGTGCCGTGGCAGGAACATCCTTCTCAGTTCTTTCTTCGAAATCCCCGTCGGGATTTGCATTTACATGATAGATGCCTATGCCCTAAGGAAGGCCAAGTGAACCCACTTTCACATGGGCCAAATCCCATGTCGGTTCTTAGGGATCAAAGGTGGCATCATGCTTTGGACTCCCCTAGACGTATTCCAGCCTCGAGATTCACTTTCCTCATTTGTTGGTGCGGGTTCTGGGTTGGATGGGACAAGCATATTTGCTGATCAGCTGGGGTGGTTTCAGGGGTCAATGTAGGCGTATTGTTATTATTCCATACATGGAGTTTTAGGTTTGAGTGGAGCGCTACATCCAAATTATGAACATACCTTGTCTCAACGAATGGACTCCCGCCCGAGTGCTGAACTTACTGGTTGATGACCGGAACGAACATTCGATGTTCTGACATGTGCTGACCAATTCCTGAAGCCATGAGTGTGGCCACGTGTTGTCCGCCAAAAGGCCAGATTCTGAAGGCGTTTGAAGGTTTATATGGTGACCTGGATCTTCAACATCCAATTGTGTAAGACTAAGATGTCGAAATGCTTGGTGCCTATTTAAGCTATTAGCACTACGTGAAGTGCCTTCAAATTTTGTGATGATCACGATTGCATAAGAGCCTAGCAGTATTTAGCGTTGGCATGCTCCAAGCCATGGTAAGCGATAGGCGGCTCTCAAAAAATAAACACGATACCCTCTATCAAGGTTCCCAAAACGTTGGGAATTGATAGGGGCTTACTTAAATAGCCAGGTTAGCCAACCCTTGTCCTTCAGATTACTGTATAATTTGTATGTGTCCATCAGTTTCGCAGGAAACCCCTCTCCAGGGCGTATGTGTAGTCCCTCCATACCATCACGACGGAATGCATGGCGTTTCAACCGCGACGTCGCGACTCGACCTGGACCCGGTCACACCAACCGCGACGTCGCGGGTCAGACCGGCTGCGACCTCGCAGGCACCGTGCGAGGTTGGAGTTCGAATACATGGCCATGGACGGCGCTTATGCCGAAGCTCCTGCCTTTGGGCGGCAGGTCTATCGCTGTGGGAAGCCGGTGCTGGGGATGCACTTGATCCGGCAGTTTCATGCCTCTTGGCAGGAGATGTTCTTGCAGCCTGGAGTTGAACGTGTCAAAGCATGACTCTTGTGGTGGGATTCTTGGCCTCACTTGGCCCCCATATAGAAGAACCCAGCGACACACAGCTATATGTTGAGCAGCTTCGTGATGATGTACGCTCAGCGGTGCTGAGTTTCGGAAGCTCCATTTTTGCAACAGGTGTTTGGCCTTGAGCTGATTGATGTTCTTTTCCAGCATGTCCAGCCAATCTCACTCAGATCTTGAGACCCCTTGACACTTCTGGCCGATACCGTTTCACATGCATGGCCGAGAATAGATTGACTAGTACGGTATACGGGATGCGGCTGAAACCATTCTTGGGGGTTGTAGCTAGTGATGGTTTTGCAATCATCCCACCGGTTGGTTGTTCAAATATGTTTTCGGGACTACGCCCTAGAATCACCTTGAATGATCCTCTTGGGCGCAGGTGCAATACCCCTTGTAGGAAAATGCCTGACAGACTCCTGAGCACTGATTGAATCCCTTCCCTTTAAACAAGTGTTTGAGCGGTGAATCTTTGCAGTGGGCCCCGAGCGGGGGGTTTATTCTGGGGAAAGGAATCAGGAAAGCTGACCCAAAACCTGGCTTCATGATGGCTGAAGAGAAAGCATTAAAACTTTCAGTGTCCTATTATATGCTTGCGCAAGACTTTTCAGCAGGGTGGCCGATCCTTCCATTTATCTCGCACTTGATGTGTTTTCCGCATGTTTATTCTCCCTCATGTCGGATCACTTTTCCGCTTGGACAGTTTCAACCACCCTTCTTTTGAGGTCGACGTGCCCTGGAGCATTCGGCTTCTGGACTTTTGGAGCAAAGCCCAGGGTCTTTGGGGTCCAAAGAGATCCGTCAAGCGTGACCTTCCTAGACGCTTGGATATCGTTGAATAAGCGCGTTTCAAGGCGAGCTGGTGGAATGTGTTCTGGCCTGGCCAGATAGATCAATCGTTGCTCCGCAGAATGGACCTTGGGCATCCTTTTTCCTCGTTGATGGCAAAGTGGCAAAGAGATGGAACTTGCAGGTCTTGGACATGAGCAGATGTTCCTCTACCCATGGGGCGGGTTTCGTGCATGTTTGTTGTCTATAATTTGTTTGTGGGATGTCTCTTCAGAGGCGTGACAGAAACTGCCGCGGAGACCAGGCACCCTAAACCGTACACCAAAAAAGCCTGCCTGAACCTAGATCTTCCCACATCAGGTTGTCATCTTCCCCATGAACTGTTCGTCTTCCCCATGGTTGCAACTATATACCCTATACATCCCTATACTAAGGGCCTACATGTTCCCTCATCATGAACTAGTCTTCTCGAGATTATCATGTTGACTTTGCAACTCATTGTGGGCCAGACCGACCTCCAGGTGCTGCTTGGCCGTCGCGGAAGCAGGTTGGTTTGGGACTATAGGGGACTAAGTCGGGCACTTGAGTTTGCCGCAGTGCCTTGTGGACCAGAAGTTCATGTTGGGATCCTGTATATTATATGAACTTTTGATCCTTTTCATATTGCCTTATAAAAACGCATTCATCCTATATATGGGGTCAATGCGTTTGGTCTGCCCACCGCAGACCGACGGCCCTTCCACGACTCCCTGGGAGTCATCGCTTCAGAGTCTTGGAACCTCGGTTTCGACATGTTTCGATCGACACCGTGACCATCACCACATGTGTGATCCACATGCTGATCGCTTCCTATGCCTATTTGAGCGGAGATGCTAGAGACCCTGAAAACGAACACATCACATGGAAGTAGTGAACAAACCCACCTGCTTTGTAGCGGAAAAGGATCTTCCCAGTGGCCATTGCCCATTTCCATGTTAGTGAGTCGGAGTGTACTGCTAAGTTGGCATCAGGGGATCCGACGTGCCGCACGGCAAAACAAGCCTCAAAGAGATCCAAGAGTAAAGAAGACCAAGACAACACACGCACGACAACACAAGCAGCAGAATGAACAAACCCAAGATGGCCCAAGTCCCAAGGCCAAGTCCCTCAGTGCAGGGACATTTGTTGACATTATTCTGAGATGGATTTAAAACAACATCAAAAAACAAAGCGTTAACCAAAAATGAGTTTGTATTTGACCAGACAATCAACAATTGCAGTTCAAAAAGCAAAGCAAACCTGCTTCCTTTGACCAGTGGCTTTGAACATTACCCTGGCCTCAAGAGCCATGGCATCAGCTACCAGTCGAGGCTATTTAGAGTCGAGTGTGGACTTGATATCGCCCACCTCCAACAGCCATACAGCCAGTCACATCAAGATGTGGATGGGGCTTTCGAATAGACCAGATTTGTTGCATTCTGTCACTGAAAAGTTCTGTCTTGCGCAAGGAAAGTATTTAATTGGCTTTGCGTTCCACCCAGGTTTCTTGTGTTGTTCGTTCCTATGGGGTTCTGAAGGGCCAAAAAGACATCCCCCCTTTGCTTTGGCGCCTCCTTGTGCGCACCACTTGTGATGGCGCAGCTCCGGGGGTGACCGCCATGCGCTCATCTTTGCTGATGGCTGTGTGACATGGCTGGTTTGGGAATGACAGTCGTGAACGAACCCGGAACGACGTGAGACACTCAGAGCATCTCAGTCGGGCCTAAGGGAAATCCAGTTCATGCCCCATAGAAACGAGAGAGGTTTGGGTGGTTCACACTCTTGAACAGAAAGCACAGCGAAAGGTCCAAGAGATGAACATGCTGACATGTCCAATTGCGGTCAAGTGCTGCTAACTCATCTATATAAGTACTATAGTCTTATTTAATCCTATCCACCTATTAAACAACACGACGCCCCCACCCCCTATTAAGTGAAACTTGGTCGCATGTTTTCAAAAAAAAATATAAAGGGGGTCCCTGAAATCGGGGGGGGTCCAAAAGAGGGTCACCTGGGAAGAGCTTCAAAGCCCAAAAGTAATCCATAAAAATTATATATACATTCCTCTATTAAACTCGTATCAAAAATTCAAAAAGCCTCCAGATCGAAGGGTCTTCCTTTTCCCTAACAAAACATTTATTGGAATAGTGATTCTTGATTAGACTAATAACTATATAAAGCTTTCGAAAGGTAATGTCGCTGTGCCATGCGGTTTTGCGTGACCTTGGTGGAAAGTGCGTTTGCATGAGTCCGTGCCGTTGGGGGAAAGAAGGCCTGCTGGTGTAAACGCGGCGTGCCATGGTGGATAGACGGGGTGGACAGATGTAGGCAGTTACGGTTGTTTTTGGAACTTAATTAAAGAAACTACCCCCAAAATCGACCATGTTGGTAGTTCAGTAGCGGCTTGAAAGGGCGGTATTTAAAAAATACCGAATTTAGGCTTTCGGACATGGTGTTTTTCATTAGGGAGGCTTTTTAAATAGGTACTCGGGACTATGGCACTCTTCAGGTCCAGGCTTAACACATGAGTTGAAACAAAGAGGAGCAATTTGGACGCCACATGATGCCACCATGCTTCTCTTTGCCTTGCTGATTCATCATGTTGGAGGATCCCGGCTTACAGACACCCGCCGACCGCCGTGCGCACACATGTCCTGATCATTCTGGTCATTTTTAGACACCTGGGTCCTTTTGGTGTCCTTTTGGCCTTTGCTGCTTGGTCTCAGAAAAGTGCCCATTTTTCTCACCAGGAAGCTTTAGTCCCATCGACAGCACTAGTCCCATCGAACGCCAAGTCGACAGCACTAGTGGGATGCCGAGTCCGTCCAATCCTGAGGGGCTGGACGCGAACGTCTGGCTTGGACTGCTGGACGGACGGCATCACACGGGGCCAGTGACTTGAATGGCATCGCTGGGGTGCGGAAGGGGTTTTCTAACTGCTTGGGGTCTCATGGTCCCCATGGACCTGCGAAATGGCAACTCATCCCACCAACGGAAGTCTTTTTGGGCATGCTCAAAGACAGTTGAAGCATGTAAAAACACCCCTTTTTGCCGCCCTACTACCGTATAGGTGATGTGCGTCCCCTGATCCATCACCCTATTCCTACAGTATATATTCCTGTAGCGTTGGCATGGGCCCATCTTCATATTCTTCCCTCAACTCTCCATGACGCCTGCCCATTGAGTGGAGATGAGTGGATCCTTGTGTTTTTTTTTGTGTGGGAGCATTGGGCTGGGATGTGGCTGCTCTTGATGTTGCGGTGGTTGCGGAGGTGCTGCAACGCCATTTTCGGCCGAGGGGGCAACTCCCACTGCAACTTGGCTACAGTTCCTGGTCAAGGTCCAAATGCGTCCAAAGGTCTTGTCTGACCAGCCCGCCCCGAGCTGCTCAACGCTTCCAATCTTGGAAAGACCGAAGGATTTAGGTCGCTTGGTCATTGGTTTGAGCCACCAGTGTCATACAGTCTCCACTCCACTGGACAGCGCAATTGTGCGGGTGACCGACCGAAAGGCCGGAACGGCTTCCGAAGCCGCCAGGCTGGGATGGCCAGCAGTTTACCTTCGAGAGCTGTTGCGGGGAGCTCTCCGGCGAGGATAGGGTGGTTGGTGGAGGATGTTCGCTAAGAAGATGCACAGGGTGTAGATCCCCTCCCAGCCTGATGCGCCCAATCCAAGAGGACAGGTACATGAACACACTTGCAGGATGAACCTGCAGACTTGAGAGGGAACTTGCTGCTCGCAACATGTTCTGTATGTTTTTAGTTGGCGAGCAGGGCACAAGAATCGTCGCTGGCTCCGGGACCATCCTTTTGAAGCAGCTGCAAACAGCTACAACAAGTGAGTCGGAGCCGTGCATGGGGCTCATGTGGCACATGTCAATTTGTCACCCCATTCTTAAGCCTCGAAGATGGGAAAATGAACATGGCTGTGGATCATAAAACCATGGCCAAGCAATCCTGGTGGACCCCGGGTCCCAATGAATAAAAGCCAACCGAAACCATCGAAACCCCATTGCTTTATGGGGGAGGTTGGATTCTGCCACATCAAAACCATGGAACCCCCCCCAGGTCCTACCACGCCACAGACTGTAGCGCCTTTGTCACCCACTTCAGCTTCAGCGTGGTGGGATTCAGCGTCTCGCCGCAGACCGGAGCTGGGGCGGCTGAGTCATGTGGACGTGTTTGGGGTGCGCCGGTCCAGCGGAGTCCGGGGCTCGTTCCGTTCATCACCCGCACGAACGTGCGGGTTTCAGGAAGCTTCACCAACCAGGGCGCTGTCTCAATCAATCGCCCGAAGCCACGATGGGAACATGATGGAACATGTATACTCGTTTGCTGCTAGTCATTGCACCATGATGAAGTATCTGAACTGGGTTGGAGTTCCTAGGCTTGACGTCGCATGACTTCTCCCCCCCACCTGCTTCATGCCCCAGGCCCCAGCGACCCCTCGCGCGCGGGAGACGCTTGGGAGCGCTGCGCCAGCGCCATGGATTTGGAGCCTCACAGGTCGGGTGGTCTCACCTGAGAGGGGCGGGGAGGCAAACGGTGCCGGTGAAACCAGCTTCAAAGCGCTGAAACTGCACGAGACTGGCATTCCACCACGACATGGTGACCTTAACCACGACCAGGTTACCTTGTTCTGGCTGGTTTGCATCGATCGTCAGCTGCAGACAAACCACCCACGAAGGAGTTTAAGAGCGACCATGGAAGCTACTGAACGTCCAAGCGCTTTTTGGTGTACCTGTACCTGCTAGCTGCCATGGTATAGCCGTGGCTTCACGGAACAACAAGCATTCAGTTACGTTGGGGTCTGTATAGCTTGGTGGATGATATCTTCCACTACTTACCCGTATTTTGGGGCGCTTCCATGGAGTGAATGCAAACTCGGTCATGGATGTGCTCATGTGGGCACATTGGGGGTCATAAATTACAAGAGTATCACAATTACAGCCATAGAGATCCTTGAGTATCTAAATAATGAACGCTTCTGAGACGGGATGAAAGGAACATGCATGAAGAAGCTTTGTGAAAAAGGA